TCCCCGACCAAACCCTCACGCAAAAAAGGGTAAAAAAAAAAAAAAAAAAAACTAACTACGAAGGCCCTTTGGAAATATCTTAGTCCCGTTTGGTACAAAGTTTTTTTTTTAAATTCATTTTCAATCGTACCTTGTTTAATTAAAATAATTTTACACACGTAAATTCATCGTTTTCGTACTTTCATTTATACATATTTTAAAAAATAACTTTTTAGAAAACCTATTTTTTATAAAATTACATCAAACGGATTATTAACCTTTCTTTCTCGTGACACTAATATTTTAATTTGAGTCCGGACAACTTAACAAAAGAGTAAAAACGTAGCAACTTATAAGATGTAAACAATCTATTCATGTCGCGAGCCATGCTAAATTGATCTTGCAAAAAAAAAGTATGAAAGTCACTCGAGTTCGACCCTAACAACAGTTAGATGGTGGTGAATATATGTAAATGCGGAACTAAAAATATTTTCAATTAATATTGCAACAAGTCACAATGATAAATTAATCTAGATCAAGTTCACATGAATTAATTACTCTATGTTAAATTTCCGATTTGATGAAATCAATGACGTAAACAATACAAAGAATTCATGACGGAGAAAACCCTTAATTAAGTAAAATACTCCAAGACCAAGCAAGTAGTATCTGTTATAAACAATATGAAGTTAATGGATAAAGATTTTGTGAGTTCCAATCCACCAATGACTTAATGTGCCAACTCATCAGTGCTTAGGATAAAATGAGCACCGGTGCTCATTAGATCATTTCTCACATTTTGAAATAGTGGACGGAATCGACAGATAGAGAATGTGTGGTTAAAAATAAAAAAAAAATCTTTTGTGTTGTATGTAATATTATTTTATTGAAGGATGTATGATTGAAAATAAGAGAGAGAACAATGTATTTTGAAGAAAATGAAGATCAAACAAGGAAATAATCAATAATGGGGGCCAAACGCAATGGCACCTATAGCAATTTCCCACATATGTCAATGGACTCCAAACCAAATTCAAATGCAGCCAAATTATCTCCCCGACCAAACAAACTCACCCAAAAAAGGGTTAAAAAAAAAAAAAATCTAACTACGAAGGCCCTTTGGAAATATCTTAGTCCCGTTTGGTACAAAGTTCTTCTTTTTTTTTTTTAATTCATTTTCAATCGTACCTTCTTTTAATAAAATAATTTTACACACGTAAATTCATCGTTTTCGTACTTTTATTTATACATATTTTAAAAAATCACTTTTTAGAAAACCTATTTTTTATAAAATTACATCAAACGGATTATTAACATTTCTTTCTCGTGACACTAATATTTTAATTTGAGTCCGGACAACTTAACAAAAGAGTAAAAATGTAGCAACTTATAAGATGTAAACAATCTATTCATATAGCAAGCCACGCTAAATTGATCTTGCAAAAAAAAAAGTATGAAAGTCACTCGAGTTCGACCCTAACAACAGTTAGATGGTGGTGAATATATGTAAATGCGGAACTACAAATATTGTCAATTAATATTGCAACAAGTCACAATGATAAATTAATCTAGATCAAGTTCACGTGAATTAATTACTCGCCTATTTGTATGAAATCAATGACATAAACAATACAAAGAATTCATGACGGAGAAAACCCTTAATTAAGTAAAATACCCCAAGACCAAACAAGTAGCATCTGTTATAAACAATATGAAGTTACAGTAAGATCTAGTCTAGAATTCTTATTAGATTTGCTGATCTAATTTCTGCAATTTCCAAGACCTGTTGGACAGTGCTTCCCCGCACGAGATCTTGATCCTTTGGAATTATCTATCTCCCCATGGATCAACCAAAAACTCCTCGTTCTTGTAATATTCTTAGGCTCTTGGTCCACCTTCCTAAATCTCCACAACATTTGAAAGCTATTTAGGAAGTAGGTGTTTAGATATGAAGTTTCAAGATTTTCTCCAAAATCCGTGGTTGGTCGATCTCAATAATCAAATGATTAATCTCAATATTTGGATATGTTTTTTGATCATGGAATGGTATTATGACGGTGTATTATAATGATGAACTATCCATAAAAACATAATGAGCATTGAATATTTATAACAAGAGGTGTTTGGATTGAAGTAGGATTGCAAAACTTGATCAAATCGTGAAATTGGACTTTTCGATGTATGCCCACTGTCGAGCGGCCAAAATGCGGAACAAATTCTTCTTGTTCTAAACTTGATTTCCAAGACTTCATATCCAACTAAACAGCTACCAATCAATTTCATTGACTTTCACAACTCTTTTAATGAATATACTTGGGGAAATTTAGCCACCTCGTTACGGTTCTTGGTTGATCATATTTTATCTTGGTTTTTGATATGTGACTTTTAGGATATAACTATAACCATTTTTTAAATCGATTTTTCCATTTCACGTGTTTGATTGATAATCAAACCTATCTGATTTTCAAAACACGACAAAATTGTCTATAGAAATCATATGTACATATCTTGAATAATTTTTTGCAATCGAGAGTCAATTTCAACGACTGTTGGACTTATTTGATATCGGATCAATATTGCATATAGAGAAATCATTACCGATTGATACAAATAGTAAATTGAACTTAGTGAATAAAATAAGTGAGGAATTTTATCACGCATCTATTTCTCAATCTATAATGTAACTAACGGTCAAATGATTCGAAAATAGACAATATGGTAAGGGACCCCAAATATATAGAAATAGCAATATAAATACAAAATTTCTTGTCAGTAATTAAACAAATATTTTCGGAATAATCTATGAATATAATTCGTAGCATTAGAGCAATTTCTACACCATAAATAAAAGAGGCAGTTTGCATTAGAGCAATTTCTACACCAAACGG